GATGCTGTTGAAGTTATTGTTATAGATGAGATCAGTCTAGTCTCCATAGTTATTTCCTCAAGTGATTCTGGACTTCCGTAATGTATTCCTCTGTATCGGTCCTATTGTTGTGTTCTTCATTTTCAAGCTCCATATCCTTCTGGTTATTGGTGTCAACTATGCTGATTTTTGTCACTTCTGTTGCTTGTCCTATTGCTTTTTTCGTTTCCATTTGTACTTGATTCTTCTTTGTACCTGTGAGTGGTTTAAACTTGTTTCTGAGTTTTACTTTCAATAATGGTTTGGAGATCTTGCCATTGTCTATCAGGATTCTTTCCCTGTATAGTTGACTATCAGGTTTCTGGTTCTTGTCAATCTTCTTGATGTGTTTGTTGTAAGAGCTTTTTGCGAGCATTGTGTTTTTTCCTCAATATTTTGAGTTGTTATCATAAAAGAAAATTTTTAAGAATTTAAATGCGAGTAAGAAAGAGTTTTTTTGGTTCACTGAATAGTGACGAAGATTTGTATATAGTTATAAAGTGATACAATTTCTTGGAATTTGTATTATATAAGTCTTTAAAGTTCTTCACAATTTTCTTAATGTCAAATAAAAGACAAAAAACATGTAAAAACATTATTTCAGATAAAACTTCCAGTGAAAAAGAAAATCATAATAAAAGTTTTTCACAGGGCTCTAAAAAGGCATTAAGTTCTTTGAAGTTTCGTGGTTATATTGAAACCCTGAGAAAAATGCCTCTGCTCGATATAAATAAAAATGTTCTTCACAAGTATTCACGAACCTTTAAAAGTATCCACGAAACTGTATCGCGCTTAGCTTGAATGTATGAAGGAACTTTGGGTATATTAAAAGAACACAGCACATATTTAAATAAATATCAATTATTTGTTTAGATCATGATAGATTTCTTGAGAAAATTTTGAAGTCAAATAAAGTCCTCTATAAGAAAATGGATCAGTTGCTAGAATGGCAAAAAAGTGTAGAGGATAAGGTTACCCACCTCAAAAATGAAATTTATACAAGTACATATTTAATTATCGAATAAAAATTTATTGAAGTAAGTTATAAGTTAAAGATTTTTGGAAAACTTTAATAATATATTTGATATTTTATTAGAAAGTGGTTAAGGGAATTGGGAAAGAATTGTTTAAAGAAAAAATATACGTGGAATCTGAAGACTTTCGCAAGCAAACTGAGGAATTTTTCCAGAGGGAACATTCAGAGTTCTATGAAAGACTTTCAAGAAAATGATGAAAAACATACTATAAAAAGCATATTCGTCAAGAAGTAAGTTCAATAAATCATATTTATTTATTTTAAATTATTAATGCTTTAATTTTATTTAATAGCTCATTAAACAATACAGATCTATCTGTGGAACTATGGCTTCAAAGGTTCGTGATATCATGTTTTCAGTTTTTGATAAAGAATCACTTGATATAATCAATATCAGTGCATCAGCCACTGAAATTATGACATGGAAGCAGTCATACAAGACAGTCGAATATTACAATAATTTTCACAAACTTCCGGAAGGGGAGAATTAAAGCATAATGGCATGCATTCTTGAAAAAGTTTGGTCAAGAGGAGGCTTCTCCACCGAATAAATAGCATTTGCTATCGCAATTTATTAATCTGTTCTAAATCCACATAATGAAATAATTACTATAAATGAAGCAGTTCTAAAAGTGAAAATTAAGAAATATAAGGTAAGCTTTGAAGGTTTTCGATGGTCCTTGGAAACATAAGATATTTACCAATATATATTTTTATGAAAAAATTATAAGAGGAATCAGATTTGCAGAAGGAGATTCTAGCAGCGAAGATGGATCCAATAACGAATCAATGAGTGATAATAGTAAAACAGAAGTTCTAAAACCTCCAAAGGTAATTGAAAATAATGAAATAATCCAGTGTTAAACATTGAAAATTTATCATTAGAGAGGCATCCTTTGGCAATGAACTTAACAAAAGAATAAATATATAATGTGAAATAAATTTAATAAATAATTTTTAAATATAAATAAATATTTGTAATACAATTTTTAATAATATTTATATATAGTTTAATATAAACTTATATTATTATATTTAAAAATCTTCGAAAAACTCTGGAGATTATATTAAAAATTTTTTAATATAATCTTTGGAGATGTTCAAAAAATTTTTCAATTATTTCCAGAATTTATATATATAACTTTTATTCTGAAGACTTCTAATGACGCTGGAAGTCCTCCAAAGATTTACGCCCAAAGATCTCTAGAGATCTTTGCCTAAAAAATTTCCTGATGAGTGGAAAGAGTTTTTTGTTTGTAAAAAATATTTATTGTTAATATTATTAAATAAATAAATATGCTGTATATAGATATATTTTTTTTCTGAAAAAATAATTCATAAAAGTGATTATATCTAGTAATAAAAGTCTTTTGAAAACCTAAATAACAAAAAATTATAAAGAAATTAAAATGTTCAAGAAAAATTAAAAGTTAATACTTATTATAAACAAAATCAAAATAAAATTAATTTTAAAGAAATAAGTAAAAATTTTAATATTTAACCCAAATAATTATAAGATTAAATATTTAAAAATAATAAGTTAATTGAAGCTTTATTCAAAGAATTTAAATTACATAATAGAAAATCACCTAAATATCCTCAACTAGAAAATTTTTTATCTAATTAGATTATTGAACAGTAAAAATTACAAAATTTTATTACTAGAAAATTAATAATTACTAAAAATTTTTCATGAATTCAAAATAATATTTTTCAAAATTCTTTAGATATTCAATTATTTAAATTTTTTAATAATTGACTTAATGGTTTTTTAGAATATTATAATTTATTAATCTGTTATCAAACAATTATTACACAATATTTGCCTGAAAATTTAAAAGAAAAAAACAAGAATTTCTCAATTTTATTTTTAATTAATATATCAACTGTAATTATTCATTATCCTTAATTGACAATATTGAAGAAGTTTCCCTTACTTTTGATTTACCAAATTCAACAACAATCGAAAAATGAGGAGTTCACACAGTTAGTATTTGTACTATCAGCAATGAAAAAAAATTTTACAATTATTATTGGATGTATGGCTAATAGAACTAAACTATCACAAGTATGTATTTTTAAATTAAAAAATATATCACAAGAAAATTTTCCAAATAGTGTATTTATTCATACAAATGAAAAAAGCTGGGTGAATGAATTAAAAATGCTTTGGTGAATTGAAAATATTTGACCCTTTAATAATTTTCTTTTATTTTTTATTCTTTTCATACACATTTGGTTGATTCTGTTAAATTACAATTAGTTAACAAAAATATTAATCCAACAATAATTCCTGATGGATTAACATCTTTATTTCAAACATTAGATGTTGGTATTAACAAAAGTTTTAAAACAAAGGTAATTAATATTATTATTTATTAATTTATTTATTAACAATAATTTATTTTATATCAGTTTGTGAATTATATAATTTAGGGATGATATAACTATTCATGAATTTACACCTTCTGGATATATAAAAAAACCTTCTTATTCATTACTTTCCGAATGGAAAAAAATTGCATGGGAATCTCTTGATATAAATTTAATTCAAAATTCATTTAAATGTTGCAAGATATTATAATTTTTTTTTTATTCACAACCTTATACTCTTATTTTTTCAATAAATATATTTTTATCTTATTTTATATACTTTATAATTTACTTATATTTCACTCACACTTTATGTTTCAAAAATTCCTTTTATTTTATATTTACCGTATATTCCAAAACCTATTTACTTTATTACCTCACATTTCGTAAATCTCAACGTTCTATAATATACCTACTCTATGTTTCATAAATCCCACTTGCACTATTTTTCAAACCTATTCACTATATATATACCTTACATTCTATAAACCTACTTCTATGCTCCGTGAGTCTACATGCTCTAAACACTTTGTTACCTCACATTTGCAAATCTCAAAGTTCCGCAATCCACTCCACTCACCTTACACTTTATATCTTATAACTGATCCTCTTTAAATTCCTTGCATTTAGTAAACTCACCTACTTCTCATATTATAATGTTTTTTGTTTCGTAAAAAAAAAAAATAGATATGTAAAAAATATATATACAGTATGAATAAATAAATAAATGCGTAAAAAAATAATATTTATTGATTGATTGGCAGATTGATATGCACCATTTTAAAACATCCATGCATGAACCGGCAAGCATTCTACAAGGGGGGGTACTATACACCGCGACATACGGTACCCATTAATGTATTTCAGTGTAAAACAAACATTAACTGGTCTGGATTAGTTTGATAAGAAATACCACATGTTTTATTCCATAAATGGATTAAAGTTCGCAATTTTAAACTTTTAAGGCCTAGAATGGGCAAAATAAAACGTGCGTCAATTTGACATCAAAATATGCAACCTATAGAAAAAAACTACAGTATTGATGATTTTTTTCTCACCCCATGTCCTTTTCCAAAACAAGACCCGGATTTTTAAAAATTATTTATAATTCTATAATTGTGTTCGCTATTTTTTTTTCCTTTAAACTTTCAATAATATAAGCTATCCTATATTTGACGATTGTTTGTACGTTAAGCAAATGACGCGTGAATAAATATCGTGTGGCTATATTTCTGGTTTTTTCCGGAATCTTAGACTATTTTTAACGTTTGATTCTTTTGAAAAATTTTTTTCATTACTCACATCGATGATGGTTGAATATACCGAGATATTACATATAAATCGTGATTTCATCAAATATACCGAATTTGAAAATATAAAATTGGTAAAAAAAGATGTTTATGGGTTAATAAAAAAGGGAGTTTGGTCAATAAACAATAAGTCGGTGGCCTTAAAATATATTACAATCGAAGAAGGAATCTCGGAAAAAGTAAGTTATCTTACTGTGCTACTCGGTTTAGTCGATATATAATTACTTATATACGTGTAGATTGTTGATTTGAGGAAGACAAACATGAACATTGCAAATTTTTTAGGAATAAGTATAGGTGAACATAATTTATCATTTATGATGTCTTGTCTTTGCGATTCTCTACAAGTTTACTTATTTTATATCCTTTAAGATCCGATAAATAGAAATTATCTGCTAGTGTTAGAATATTCCGAAGAAAACCTCCGTGATTATCTATTGAATCACGATTTAGGATGGGACGAAAAAATCAGAATTGCAAAAGACATAGCGAATGGATTGAACTTTATTCATAATGAGATAAATATGGTTCATCAAAATTTGGTGAGAACCCTTCATTTATATTCGTCAAAAACCTTCATTTTTGCATAAATAAACCTAAAATTTTATTAGAGCACAAAGGCCATATTTCTTGATAACGATAAAGCCTTTTTATTGGATCCCAGAATATTCTCTATTACAACAGAATCGTCAGGCTATTATAATCCACCTGATGAATCAATAGCGTTTGTTGATCCAAATGTCTTGAAAGATCCAAAGATAAATTATACGACTGAATCCGACATTTACAGCTTAGGCGTTATAATGTGGGAAATATCAAACAGGAGAGTTCCATTTTCCGATGTAAAAGGTCATGAATTGTTAATAGAAAGGATACAGAATAACCTTCAGGAAGAGACTATACCCGGTACTCCCCAAGAATATGCTAGCTTATATCGAAGATGTTTGCTCGAACCAAAAATGCGTCCTAGTATTCTCGATGTATGTAAGGAGCTTGGACGAATGTTAGGTGAGATAGTGAAATGTACTTAACTTTAACACTATATTAAAATTTCTGATGAATTATTTTGACTATGTCTTGAAGATGTTAATGAAGGAACTTCAAAATCTCGGAACGGGTTCGTGACATATATGCTTATCTTCTCTTATTATGTCTATGAACTAACTAATTTATTTGTTTAGCAACGGCTTCATTTATAAAAGGATAAAGAACTACCTTTCCAAACTTAAAGGTTTCGTGAATTATAGATCGAAAAAGAATCATACTAATTAGTTTGTGAAATGACATCGTACAATAAACATTACATGAATTTGTAACGATATTAAACTGCAAAAGGTTTGTAATTACGTTCTTTTCTTTAAATTGAATGCTCAACTAAGAAAAGACTATTTTAATCGATTTCGCTGTGAAAGGAACATAAAATTAAAATGCACTAATCCTTGATCATATAATTATGTTTAAACAGTAATCGCAATTGTTAAAGTGAGTGTATTTCAATTTTTTTATTCTTCAAAGATAAAAATGATTAAAAAAAAACAAAAATTTGATAATATACAGCATTTAAATTTTTAAATATCTATATTTACTTTTTTTTAATTCATAGTTTGTTTGCTTGCTTTTCAAATTATAGACTTTTACACGTGGATTCACCCATTATTAAAATTAAAATTTACTTTTCAACTTAAATTATTTCTTTATTATTGTTGTTGTCTATTACATATTTACGGATAAAAAATACGAATGAATAATTAAATTAGAAAAGATTAAAAAAATAAAAAAGCAGAAACAATATATAATAAAAAAATAACAAAAAATTTTTATTATAAAAAAAAACATTACTGAAATTATATATAATCAAATAATAATAGAATTATATTTTATATACAGTATATAATTTTAAATCAATTTTTAATTAGGATTTTTTATTAATTTTAACAATTAATTGATATTATTTCTTTTAATAATATATTAATCAATTTAATTGTTTTTTTATGAATTTTTTATGAATTATTGAATATTTTAAAAAATAAACTATTTTATAAATTTAAAATAAATTAAAAAGCTTGGATTATTTCAATTTTATTTATAATTATTTTGTTATAAATATTTTTATCATAATTATTTATTATAATATATTATTTTTTTAAATACTTGATTGTTTTTTATAAAAACCTATAGTAACTTATAAAAAATTTATTTTTTAATAAGTATATTTTTAAATTTAAATTTTAATTTTAATTTCATCAAATATGATATTATTGAAAATAATATATCAAATAATTAATAATTAAAAGAAAAAATCAATTTTTGAGTATCTGTAGCTAGGCTAGATTATAATTTATTAATCAATTAAAAATATAAAAATATTTTTACTTGAGCAACAAAATATATACTATAATTAAACATTCTAATCAAATCTAATAAACTTGTTATAAGCAATAATAGCCTCTAAGTTGAATTTTAGGAACAATATTTTACTCTATATTAGGTTTTGAATAAAAATCCTCTTGATTTATTACTTGCCAACAGATTATTACTACCAAAAATCCTACAAGTCAATAAAATATAGATATTATAAAAGAAAGAGTTAAATAAAAGAAAAAATGTATATCTAAAATTGTTCAAATGAACTTATAAGAAAACAAAAAAATAAAATTTCCTAACTTCTACCAAAGACCAACTTTTTAAACCTTTTCTTAATAAGAAACATCTCATTGAAATATCTTTTTTCTTCTAACTATTTGAGAAACTTATTAATTTTTAATTTTGATTTCCTTTTTATATATTATTTGAAAAAACTTATTATATAATAAGAATTTTACTTCTAAATACACACTTAGTTCTAATATTTTTTATATGGTAACTTTTTATTTATCTATAATAGATAGTGGCTTATAATAAACTTTAAATTCTTATGTGATTCAGTAAGGACTGAGATATATTGTTTCAATATAATATTTTTCAATAGTCATATTTAATTAAAGAAATTTTACTAGTTAATATTTCCATTATTTAAAAAGTAAAATTCTTTATCAATCTTTTTGCCTTATAATATTGAAAAGATCTTAAAAAAGATAAGATAAAAAATTTTATTAATTATAATATTTTTCAACAATATTTAGAAAAATATATCCTTAACTATAAATAAAGAATTGAAATTTAATAGGAACTATAGACTATTTAGTCTTATTGCTTAATCAGAATATAAAAAAAACCTTGGTTTTGAACTTTGTCCAGCTAAAATAATAAAAAAGAAAGATTTCAATTTGAACAAATAATAACTTTTTCATTATTTAATAACTTGTTACTTATATCTTATTGACCTTATTAAACTTTATTCATTTAATTAAAGAAATAGAGCAAGAGCAAAATACCAATTAATTCTTTTTATTATCTATGATATTATTGAAATACATGAATATAATCAATGGAAACTTGTTTATATTTTATTACTAATGTGTTTTATATTAACAATCAAAATTTCAAAAAATATAAAACTATAATAAACACTTTAAGAAAACAATAAACAATATATAAGAAGATAAAAAATAAATCTTCTCTTGTTAAAAAAATCTTTATTCCTATATTATTTCCAGTTCTAAAAGATAATACTTCACTGGTTAATTTTACTTTTTAGAATTTTTTTGCCTTTAATAAAAAAAACATATACTTAAGTTTTTTCATGTTATTAAAGAAACAAATTTTTGTTCAAAAGAATTTGTAAACAAGTAAAAAAAAATAATAATAATTTTTGAAAATAAGCTTCAAATTGATTTAAAAAAAGCGCAAAGACTTTATTAGTTAAAAAAAATATAACT